ACTCTACGTGGATATTCGCTCTATGACCTATGCATCTGACAGAACATCGTTAGATAAACCAATAGACACGCTTTGCTGTGATCGGTCGACCCGAGGCGGAACACAGCTTCGGCGTGTGTAGCCATGGATGTTCGTTCCTCCATGGAACGCGGTGGGCCTGTGTCTTGTGACTGATACACTGATAGCCACTCAGCACAATGCCATAATAGCATTATCAGGCGACCGCAGACAGAACTTGTCTTTTCCCGACAGAATTATCACAGAATCCAATTAACACAGGAAAACAGCTTCATGTCACATTAGTCCATCGATAAAAAGTAAAGGATTTTTCTGTTGTTTTTCACACGTGGTGCTACAAGATGATCAGATTTTGTACAAAATTGTGAACAGTTCATAGGCAAAGTATTGTTCTTCAATTAGTTTATTAAACGAAGTTCAACAGTAACTTGTTATTAGTTTCAATGCATGAGGCTAGTGTGTGGATTTGTTAACCAACTATTGAACAGCCTCTCCCGCCGAGATTGAATTTTGTATACGCTTCTGAATATCAGGGTGATTGTAATTAGTGTCTATTAAGATGGGAGGCCTTTGGGGAGGGGAGGAAGTAAATAGCTAGAATTTAGAATTTTACTTTATGGGACTTAAATGCATTAACAAAATCAGGATATTATGCCTCGACTGGGATTTCAACAAAATACATTGTGGGCATCATACAGTGTAATATCTCAGCGTTGTTTAGAAAATGGAAAAAAAGCAATGCGCATAATTTGTTTTATTTATTCCGATATTTATGATCTTTGTTCATAATAAAACAAAAGTACTTTAGAACTTATGTGCTCATCCTACAAGCAAAATGACAGATCACTTATTAATAAGAGTCAGCAGAATATAAGACAGTTGCTGTTATAATTTCATTTTATTAATATCTAAAATTTGAGATTAATTCCTTTACCGCTGTACATAAATTCAGTCTTGTACCGAAAATTAGAAATGTGTGTTCATTCTAGTCCGATGATGGGACACACAAAATAATTAAACATTTTCTAGGCGTGGTGCCTTACAGAATGTCACAGATTGTTCATAAAATATTTGGTTGTTACAAACACTTAAATGACATTCATATTTGTATTTTCTTTTGAAAGAGTAGATCCACAAAACTGTTATGTAACTGACTTCATAATCACACGAAGGTTTCATAACTTGTAAAATTTGAGGTTTTCACAGCGGTGAGTTTGAAGACTTCTGTCTTCTGAGTTACTGCGCTGTGTAGTCTGGTCGATGTTTACCAAAGTTTCAGAGGTCATACTGCCTCCATCATCAGGACGATGAATGTGATGACGGAGGCAGTATGACCTGTGAAACGTTGGTAAACATCGACCGGACTACACAGTGCAACAACCCAGAAGACAGAAATCTTCATACTAAGAATCGCCCTGATGACGGAGGCAGTATGACCTCTGAAACGTTGGTTGACATCGACCAGACTACACAGCGCAACAACCAGACG